TGCACAGCCAGCTCACAGCACCAGCACCGGCACCCAGCACCAGCACCAGCAACCTGTCTCGAAAGCGCGCACGGGCAACTCATTGTTATTTGAAGTAAGAATCCCATAGCTTCGCTATCTGGGGAAAAACAAATCTTCCAACACTGACAAAGACTCCCTCTCGACCAGGTCGGCGCCTCTTTGAGAGTTCCGGCGAACTCCTCTGTGTGGACCAAGGGCCCCATGTCATCCAGGTTGAACCAGTCGTAAGGCTGGTTCTGAGTCGCACGCACGGTTTTCGGTTTGCATCAAACCTACCTTGAACGGTGTAACCCCACACCGTTCGAGTTGGGTCGAACTGTGTCTTTTCGCCGCGAATTCAAACACTCCTTTGCACTGGCTGGTGCAGGTTTCCCAATCCGAACAAAGAAGGAGAATGAGAAAAGAACAATGGCCTCGCCTCCAACCTAGTAGCTTCTTGTTACTAGTAGTAGATGTAGTAGTGGCCTCCAACCTAATAGCGATGGCCTCCAATCTAGTAGCTTCTTGAGAATGAGAAGGAAAAAGAACAAACAATTGAAGACAATGGCCTTGTACTCCACCCTCAGCATCCGTCCAGACTCCGGAAATGCTCCGTCAGCACTGCCGCCGTCCCTGCCAATCCATCGTCGTTCATGTCAGCATTGACAAACGTGGATGTGCAAATCCGGATGCAAACTAGTTGACCACAGGTTGTTACTAGTAGCGATGCCCTTTGTTACAACTAGCTTCGTGTTCCTAGTAGTAATGCCAGAAGCTACTAGCATCCTTGCTCCTTAGAAGCGATGCCCTTTGTTACTTCATCTAGTCCACTTCTCACAACGATGTAACACTCGTCTAGATGATGTGACTTGACGTGATCTGCTTCATCCAAATGAACCTAGTAAAGCAAATAAACACTCAGTAACACTTCAACAGCACAGGACGGCTGTACATGCGTGCCTGACGTCCCTGGCCATGACCAATCAGCCACCGTTCTCAGCGCTACATGAGCAGGAAAAAACCGTCAAATAGCTACTAGTAGCAAGTGCATCGCTACTAGTAACAAGTGCGTTACTAAGTGCATTACTACTAGTTGCTCTTCACTTTGTCCGTCTGGCTACGTTTTGTGGTCGTTGGGCTGTTCTGCTTGGCACTTGACTCTGGTGCAAGTGGGCTCCCAGAAAAACTGCCCCGAGGACATGACACGGCAGATCATATGGATTATTCTTTTGAAAGACTTGCTGGGAGGCGTCGGGAATTGATTCACTTCTGCATGGGATTGCCTGTCTCGGCTGTGTGACTGTAGTGCTCAACTTGGATCACTTCCAACGTGTGGGGCATTTGACCGCCGCTCTTTGCAGTAAGCCCCTTGGCAAGTGATGGTGTCAGTCCCTTTTGATCAAACCCGTTGGTTCACTTCTCAAGTTCTACATGAACACCTAGGGACCTAATCCCTCTATGCTCCCCACAAAAGCGCACACATACACAATCTGTTCTGTCTCTCTGCCCTCTATCAGTTGACTTGCATGACATCTAGTTCATGGTCTGGCTCACCGCCCGCTTCTTCCTCCCGCACATGACGGTGGAGTCTCATGCTTTGCTGCAAGCGCTGTGAGAGTCGAGATTCGCCTCCGTGAAACAAAGGATATGACATCACTGACGGTTCATCTGCGCAGCCGCGTCAGTCATAACATAAAAATGAACCAATTGCCTCAGAACTGATCAAGCTCTACAGCGCAACTTGAACGTGTGCCAAGACGCAAGGAATGTTCAGATCCCAAATGCGTGTGGAAGATCGCTTTGGATGATTTTGAGATGATTGAAAGGTCTCCCATCTGCCAGCCCTTCAAGGTGCATCTTCCAAGACTTTCACCATGACCATAGTGTCAAGTATATCATACCCACCAGGGCAAGGAGATTCAGTGTGTGTGTGTGTACCCCTTGGAGTCACAGGGTGCCGCTGGGCTTTCTGTTCTGCTGCCAGCGGAGACAGCTGTGGATACTCCGTGAAGCGGATCGGGACACCATGTACCGTGCACATAGAACGCGATTCATTACTACTATTATTAGTAGCTTCTAGTTACTAGTAGCTTCTTTGTTCCTAGTAGTACGGCTAGGAGCCCCGTTCGTAGCGTCCTTGCTCCGTTCGTAGCGATGCCCTTTGCTCCTAGTAGCGTCCTTGGCACTTGAAGTCTAGAACCTACGTATTGCAAAAGCTGTCTCCTTCCGTCTTAGACGCAGACTTTCGTCTGGGCCTCGCTGAACCTTTGGAACGATGGATCTGTGGCACCGTCACCCCCTTTACATGCTGTACTTAGGCCCTTTCACTTAGGCTTGCGAGTGGCATGCGGCAGTCAGACCAAACCTACTAATTTCCCAAGTGTTTGTTGATCAAAACATGCATGCCATGAGAGGAGGCCAAAACTCTGAGCTTCTAGCATGTCTTAGGTTTCTTATTCCTGTCTTTCAGGAAACCTGAGCAGTTTCGGGCAGCAAGAGTGCAATTCTAACACAAAAGATGGACAAGCCATTCTGATGCTTGGGCGGATGCGCGCCTCGACACAGTTCGTGCGGCTTTCTTGTTGCTCGTATGTGATATAGGGCTCACGTGATGTGCTCCACACAAAGCTTTCAGGATCTTGTGTGTGACAAAAGCCACATTATTAACATATTATATATGTGTGTTTCTATTACTGTACTCCTATTACGACGCTACGAACGGGGCTCCTGGCATCGCTACGAACGGAGCAAGAACGCTACGAACGGGGCTCCTGGCCTTACTACTAGGAGCAAGAACACTATTCCTTACTACTATTATTACTATTATTTACCGCATCGCACTTCCGTGTCACTTGTGGATCCGGGGTAGAAGATAAGCCGATGCTGTGATTGAATTTTCCCCTCAAACATCCTCAAACCCCCATTCACCACCCGTATATGGCAACTTCGCTCATGAAACAACATCTTCTTCATATTGTAAATGAGCATCACGTACGCAAAAAATAGAAGACAAAATCAAGAACGCACTGAAAATCCCATGAGAACGTACCAGAATCAATGATGGTGCACGCAGTGTCGCAGAGAACATCATGTCAAAAAAGGAACAAAAGCACCGCCAATCAAAGCATGTCAAGGGATAAACGTCCAACTCAAGTGGGTGTCAGGCATTATCCCTGTCGTTTTCAAAACATACACTTGCATACATGGTACAGCAAGGTAATCAACGTTCAAGTGCCAACAAAACTCTCTGGTATCAATCATTTCGGAAGATGCAGGAGATCACCAAGTCATTTGCATCAGGTCAGGGTTAGATGCCCCAGAATCTTTCCTTTATCTTCAGGGCAGTTGGTGGCACTCTCCAGTATGCCAACAAGTTGCCCTTGTTCGATTTGGAAAACATACAGGTCCGAAGCCATGGTCCTTTGTCGTGAGACGGTTGCTCAACCATGCATCACCTTTCTCGTTACTTCTTGATCTCCAGGTACTTCAGTGACAAGTGCACACGACAAGAAATACGGAAGGGTCAATTCCATTTCTTTGGGTTTGGAGACCCAAATCTCTGTGTTTTTCGAGGCAGCCTATGATCAAACAAAAAAACAGCCGATGAGTGTTTCGACAACTAGGAAGTCCCCAAATTCGAGACATGCCCTGCGCCGCGCGAGAAGCAAAAACTGCCCACTGACCGCCTTCGCGTCTGATCTCCCCAAAAACCAACCCGTGTGGCCATCGCAAGCCGTGTGGCACAGCAGGAGAGGTCGCCCGCCACGCACCGCTGCAGAGTCAGACCCAGAAATGCGAACGGATTCCAGCTTCCCGAAGTCGCACCATGAGATTGATGGCCGTGTCCACGTCTCTTCCTAGTGAAGCTTATATCAAGGACACTACGAACGGGGCTCCTGGCATCGCTACGAAGGGAGCAAGGACGCTACTAGGAGGTTTCTGAAAAGATGAAAGATGTGATGAAAAGCACGGGGCAAATGCGTATCCTTTAAACTCGCAGAGTGGTGGTAAGTAAGACATGTTGTACGCATCGTTGACTTGTTCTAGTTGTGAGAGATGGAGATGTGGAAATACGGGCACCCAATGTTTGGTTACCCATGTGTCGTGGCTTTCGGCACCTTGCCATTTCTACGGTCACTGGAGATACTGATGTATCTCATGTTTCTTTGTTCATCGGTGATTCAGCAGGTCCCTTGCCTAACAATTCAGCACACTGTCCTTTCAGCTCCTCGCAACAAAAAATACGCGAAGCTTTTTGAGTTTCCGCCCAAGTGTCCGCCAAAGTTTCCCCCTCCCCAACCAAAGGTTGTAGCTCCATCAAAGTAGAAGTGATACTCAAAATAAAGTTCATCTATCAGTGTTGACAACTCAGGGAGGTGTGCAATGGACTCCACAATCGCCAGTTCAGGCCCAGCACCCATGCCCAGCGAGTCAATATCCACTTTCACCACCACGTAATCATCTAGAGAGACGGTGGAAGCGAGCATATTCAAGAAGCCTCCGCGCCTGACATGGGGAGACTGGAGAGTGGCCGAAGAATGTAAGAGTTGTTAAAGGCCGTTGATAATTTTGACCAAAGACATCTGAGAAATGGTGGAGAAAAATAACAGAATTGGTTGTTGTCAACAGGCTTGCAGGTTCTTGAGAATGGCTAGTCGGCTAGTCTTGCTTGAATCCCAAATAACACCTGTTTACTCAATAGTTGAAGACGAACCCGTCATGAAAAACTGCCAAGATTCTCTGAGAAATTCCCTTGGGGCGAGTCTGGGCAGCCATTTTCCTGCACTGGGCGATTGAAGAATCGAAGTCGAGCACGAATCTCATCCGGCAAAGGGTCCCAGAACTGGTTGTGGTCCACATGTCGTACCTGCGCAGCATGGCAACTGGTTGAGTCCAGGTCATCCTGTCCTTACTACATGGAACGCAAAGGCAGAACTACATGGAGTTCAACACTGGGAACTTGTGTCTTGCTCAACAACTTCGGCACCTCCCACGCATAGATGGCATGAAAGTCAATGCAACGGTCAGCATACATTCTGAAGAAGAGTGGGATAGACGACCCCATACCAGAACCTTCGGCATAGTCGTACATCTCAAAGTCGCGCACATTTTGACCAGATCCCAGGTCAAAGAACACACCTACAGTAGGGGTGCGGAAAGCACACACACACTATATATATAATACGTGTTCTTGTATATATGGAAAATACAAACTATGTGCTTTTGCACATGTTTTAGGACTTAAAAAGAGGCCAATGGCGATTATAAAAGGAACACTCTTATATGCGGCGATTGCTACCGCATTGCTACCGTTTGGGTTCCTTAGAACCCACAGTGTGCCTGGCACTGCCGCCAAGCTGCCTTTGGCTCTATTGCCATCTTTAGTACAAGCATTTTCAGGCAGCAAGTAGGTGGTGTTCTGGCCGTCAATACTCTTGTCGCTCAGGCACAACCAAAGAGGATGCCGGGCAACTCCACTCAAAGGTTCAACATAGCGCTTCACACGACTGCCATCAGATCGTGGATATGAGAAATAGGACAAAACCTTTGCCAAAAGCTGCAAAACCTTCCCTCAACTTCATCAACAGGATACTAGTGATTACTAGTGATGGTGACCCAAAGTCTCGCTTGAGTAATTAATGTGGTCTCACGTGATTTAAAAAATGAACATAAATAGATTAAGAAAATAACAAAAACAAAAAAAACAGCTCAATTAAACCAAAACGACAAACAAGCCTCCAACCTAATAGCGATGGCCTCAATTGATTACTGGTGATGGTGACCCAAAGTCTTGCTTTCAAGGGCTTTCATGCATCCCAACCAGTAACTCTGTGAACATCTGCGAACCTCGAACAGAATAAACATCATCACACGTCCTAATTCTTGTGCAGTGCGTGCTTTGCGAGACATATGTTTATTCCGGTCATATGTAGTACACCACATTACGAATATTCGACATGTTGCAGTGTGAGGCCATGGTTCACAAGTATGTAAGGGAAGAAGAAACAGTTGCTCTATGTTGCTCCAAAAAAAAGGGTTCCTTTGGAAACTGAATTCCTCAGGTGCCAAATGTCTGTTCGGAATGGATTCCGCTTGCATTTGAGACCAAGTCCAAATGACATTTCATGTTGACCCCGTTTTAGAAGTATTCGTCGAAGTCTGTTTACTTGCTGCGACTCCCTTGAGTCTCCAAATGCTTCGTTCGTATTGGTTCTTCCATGAGATGACGCGGGTCGCGAAATGCTGCGACCGTCGGCGTTTTCCGGTCGTCCATGTCGGTGCCAAGAGTCACGAGCTTCCTCCTCCATGGGTTCTCTATCTGGTCGTTGGTTTGCTTTGAACACACTGGCAGTGTAGTTCATCCAAATCCGCGACTTGGTTCACCGTTCGGAGCGAGAACACCGGGGTCAAATCTTTGAGGTGTTGCGTTTTGGGGTTCGCTTGGAATTTTAGACATGTCCGGGACATTGAAACTAAAGAAATGAGATGAGATGAGTCTCATCTTTCCAAAATTGGTGGTGTCAAATAGAAACGTCTTTTAAACCATTTTAAAAATAAATCTACTGCTTGCTAATTCAATATGTTCTTCTGGCAAATCACAATTCGATATTTCGACTTTGCGATTCACCCCCTTAGTGTCAGCAAAGTCAACAAATCGCTGCGTCCCACTTTCGCCAATATGGTTCTAATCATCTTGAGTCAATCATTACCACATTCGGATTTGGCCGGTTTTGCCCTTGCAGCAGTGACTTCCCAAATTTTGACCATGAAGGTGGAGTGGGGTATACCACAATTTTTGGTGACGTGTCCTTTAAATGGTCGTTAAAATAAAAGAAAAGCAGAACAAACACCATGATGATGTTTGACCAGTGCCCGATCTTGTCAAGACACCTGTTCCTGCTGCTCTCTTGCAGTTTTGCAGATCTTCTTCCTCCGAGGGAATTTCATCCATTCTTTCTCAACATCGCTCGGATGATATTCATAATCACCTCGCCGCATGTGGGCGAGCATGCACCGGTTTGAACGATAAACCCAGGGAGGCTCAATATCAGGTTCAACGGTGCCAGCGAAAAAAAACACGGTGCCATGTGTCTAAGACCACACTTATGTATAGCAGATAGGATAAAATTGGGACTAGACAAGACGTGACTAGATAAGGACAGACAAAACAGTGGTAATTTGGAATTTCAGACTGACAAGACAGGACTTGAAAGATCATGTACGATCAAACAAATGGATAAACAAACAAGCAAATACAAGAAAGCCGATTGGCGGGTTGGCAAATGCATTCATATTGAGTGAAATACATGATATAGATGCATAACCTAACAGGAATGACCTCCAACCTCCAACCTACCAGCGATGGCCTCCCTATGCATACAGTTCGGAGGCCACGCGTCGTTTGCGTCGGCCCCCGCACCCGGGCGACGCCTCGAGGCGACAAGTGATGTAGCGCAGGAACGCAAGGGTTTTCTTGCCCACCAGACACCCACGGCTGCCTCACGCGTAATGGGATGTCTGTGTAACACCTTGAACACAAGAAACCACCAAATACAGAAAACAAGTTTAGAGAAAAGAGAGTGGAACGCTAACAAATTTTGGTTACAAGTTACAAACATGTTTCACGGAACCTACTCGACGACTACATACAAAGGCTGCTGCGACCTCGATGATGATTGACAACATATAACATCAAATCACAAAGTACACCGGAGCTAACAAGCAAAGACTACGCAGTGCAGCCAAGTGACTTGAGCAGAGTACCGTTCGGCCTATGTTGTGGTGGCCATGGATCCAGGCCGGTGGCTAGCAAATTGCTGGACCCAATTAGCGAAGCAGTTTGAAGCCACATGTGTCCTGGTCAGCAGCTCCAACTGACTTTTGTGTGTATATATATATATCTATTTATTAATATCCATTCGATAAGATATATCCATTCATATCTTGGAAACCACATGAACTACTTAACATGAAGTGTAGCATAGTGCAGCTATGGTCATGAAATTCACGATGTGTCATCGTTAAAAAAGAACCGTTGAACAGACTCTTGCTGCATTGCCCCCGTTCCATTCCTTCCTTGCCTGCACGTGTGGGTGTCAAGGTGCCAGAAAACTGACAATTGGCGAGTTCGACCAACAAGTACAATGAGGTTCCGATGACCAATGCCGCCACGGCAAAGCGAATATACATGGTTGTCGCTCTTTGCGAGTGGCTCAACCCCCATCAGGAACCACTGCACGGACCATTGCGACTTCCAATGATGGTACCATGTAGTACAGTGCAAATGTGCTTTGGATTGTCCATAGGATTGTGATGTCTTACATTTAGTGATGTATACAGCACGTTTCATGTATTCATCGTTTTCTAAGCACCTATTCAAACGTGCTAAATATATCTAAATATAGCATCTCATCCTGGTGTCAAGCACATGCATTGAAGTCCCATCTTCACAACATGTGCAATCCTGAAGGTATCCATCTGTCAAGGCAACACTCGGCTAAACGTGCCTTTCTTAGCAGCTTTAGCCGTAGCAGGCAGCATGTCCTTTTCTGGAAAAATAAGGGGGTGTCTGGCTGCTTGACATGTCAGGCATTCTAAAGATTTCTGACGTCTATTATTGGAGATTTCAAGAGGTGCTACTTCAAAAGTCTTTGGTTTGAAACTTTTGCAGAATGTCCCAGAATAGTAAACTACAGTGCATCCTTTCTCAACCGTGAAGCTAGGCTTGGCTCGCCAATGACGCTCCCCGAAGAACTTGTGTCCAGTTCGGGAATGTTTGGAGTGCCCCACCCAAGCTGTGCAGCTTGATCTTTCAAACAGAGTTGTGCACAAGAAATGAACGAAAACACTGCTGACCGCTTCCAAACGCTTTCAGAGCTGGCGTTTATGAGCCACGAAGCCGTTCCGGCCGTCTAAGCCGTTCGGGTCATCGGCTTGGCCGAGACCGCGGAAGGCAACGCCCCGAGCGTCGGCACGCTCCTCGCGTCTGGCGAAGGAGGCTTCCACTTAAGTTCAAAACCTTGGCCTTTGGGTAAGAGCTCACATAGACAAGGGTAAGAGCTCACATAGATGTTACAGGGATCGAATCACAACGTTCTCGGGTTATCACACACCGGGAGTCAGAAGCAAGCGAGCCGACGTTGGATGTATTTTTGATATGTCTCTATCTCGCCCTTCGTAAAAAACGGATCTCCACGGCAATCTCCACTGAAGACCCCAAGAGCTGTCAAGGTGAGGAACTCCTCGGCATGTCGAAGAACTACACGGATGTGCCCCAATACCCCGTATGAATTATGACCCGAGTACCAAGTCATTCATTTTCGGTGGTCAACAAGGGTCTCCCAGTTACGGCTCACGGCAACGTCACGATGTGCCTGCAACCTACATATCTCTGCCATGCTTTACGTCTCGTTTGTACATGGATAGCACATACATTGTTGATCTCTCTTCTACATGCTAAGTAAAAATTGCATCATTCCATTTCTGTATGTGATCATTATTATCCTGAAGAAGCTCTCGCAAGGCCTATGAGCTCCTTATCTGGAGGTATCTGCAGCAATCTGTGTCACCAGGTCGTTACCCACAGGATGCACTTCTATGATGCAATCTACCCAACCTACTAGCGATGGCCTCCAACCTACCAGCGATCTAAGAAAACTCGTTGGTTGGCCCCCACCAAAGCGCCTCAAATGAATGCAGTGGACGTGTCCACACCTGGGCGGAGCTCGACCCCAGCTACCAACGCTGTCGCTTCCGTCACCCGGGCGGAGAAGTGGGACCAGGTGACTGTCGGCTCGCAAAGAGATGTGCAAAATTTAACGAGGACGAAAGAGTTGAGATTCCTGGGTGGTTTGTTGCTCGTTTTTGAATTCGTGTTTGGCAATTCCAGGTCCAAAAACAAGAAAGCTGAGTGTAAAACAACACATTATGAGAAATACATCTGTTTAACTAACTGTTTAACTGTGTCACATCGATTTGACTTCATCAACCTTTGCAACTACAACATACTACAAAGAGTTCGATGAACTGTGACCTCTTTTTGTTCTCTCGCGGCGCAGAATTTGTCAGGCATCTCGGCCATCTTTGTGTTCTCTTCGCCTTCGAGGTCTCTTCGAGGTCTCTTCGAGGTCTCTTCGAGGTCTCTTCGAGGTCTCTTCGAGGTC